TTTTATCGACGAACCTCAAAATGACCACATCTCATAACGACCCATGTCCCGTTTTTGAACGTTCGTACGTTGATATGATACAATGAAATATTGCTGGGTCGGAATCTAATCGATATATTAGGCATTTCTTTGGCAAAAGATTTTACTTACCTGTATATGCTTACGCCTATGGCGCGTACCTTCAGGATGGACTCTTTCACCATCGATTTTGATGAATGCCTATTTAGCCTCTTTAGAGATACAGAGGCGCTCCACACCGAACATGAGCATGAACCTATCGCCCGAGGCGTCCGCAACTGTCAGTGAGCATACGTTAGATACAATGTTTTTGAACTTGGCTGCATCAGAAGAAAAATGTTGAAATGCTAGACCAAAGATACTACCTCATCCATGTAAGAATACAAACAGTAGGGATTTGGCCTATTCTATGCATCGTTACTATTCTGACTGCATTGTTCCCTTTTAGATATGGTATACCCTGTTCATATCTAGTTTTCCGTTATCATGAATTAACTTACAATCAACCACCCAAGCTAGATCTTAGCAGAGCCCCTAATACATAGAATTCCCAGTCCAGATCAAAAATTTTTTGTAAGATATGCGCATTCTCTTAGACGTTCACGTTTACAATGATTTTCTTCTTTGAGCCAATAAGGCTAATCCTGAGTAGAGATTTTGGAACTATAGAGATTGCGTTCGAATTGGAAAAAATATTCGGTTTTTGTGGGCTGTTTTTGAACGTATGCAGATAAATTTGCTCAAGTAGTTTTCGGCTTCAACGGTAATGTACTAGCTTGAACGGTGCCAAGACGAACTCTGTTTGTGGGTGATGCCGTCGATTCGATAAGTTCACTACGGGAAAAAGTTCTTCCAGCACTCCATAAACGTTTCGAGTTTTTCCTCCTACATCGAGCATTGCTTCAAAGGGCCAATAACTTATTTCAGCACACAGCGAACCGCGCGCCTGCGACAGGTTTCGAACTCAGACCACTTGACGTGTATGTATGCAAAAAGTTCACCACTGCACCGCCATGGCGACTATATGCCGCCGCATACGCTCGGATTACTCGTTCGATTATTCGTAGGGGAAGTTCACCTACGGTTGGTAAGGAAACCGAGATACTGAAGATGTGACATGCCGCTTATTTACGAATAGAGCTGACCTAAGCCCAACAGATAAACCTATTACTGAAATGAGGACCTTGAACTGAATTTACCCTAACTAAACTAAGTCAAAAAGACGAATTCTCTATACAACCTATGTTATTGCCTAGGCACGATACCTCTTCAATCATAAAGGATACCTCTTTGTATCCTTTATGATTGAAGCACAGTTACGTTCTCTTTGCAAATATGTCCGCGATCGTTTTATATCGCAGATGCCGCAGGGTGAATTCACCTAAAAGCAAGTTAAATTATTGCTAACATTTACATATCAAGCCATTTCACCTGTCCGCTAAAAATCGTGCCTCATAAATGGTTTCCTTTATCATTAATACTATGTCCTATAATATACTTGAGTTCCCTACTTAAGGGATAAGAAAGCATACGGTTCAGTTAATCCTTTCGGTCATAACAAACGGTGTATTTTTTATTTAGTTTTTTTTTTATCCAACAGTCAAAACGGCGCTACCCTTAGAGGGATGGTATATTTCTGTCGTCTAGATTCCTTTTCCTTTTTCAACTGTTTCTCCAAACTGAGTCTGTTTGTTTCTTAGTATTGTAATCGTTGTTGGTATTACTATTATATCAGTTTTCATTATCTAAGGTCGTCTTCTTCACCAACGTATTCATTCTCAACCATTCCCGTCCATTGTGCACGGTCATTCGGGGGCAAATCACAGAGAGATTGTTGTATCGTAGCGTGTAGGCAGTCGCGTTTTCATTGCTCAGCTTAGCTCATCTTGATTTATATCTGTCGGCATTGTGGCGCTGATCCCGTCCCTCCCAATTTGTTGATTCCAGCCGAGGCTGCGAGCAATGCGTGGGGGCCCAGCAGGCGAAAACCAAGGCTCACGGAGAAGGATGGCATTCCACTTGTGGTTACAAAATATCACCCACTAAAATCGTCCTGTCATGCCCTTGTTACGGCTAGGCGACGCTGTTGATCCCTGATCTATGGCCAACAATGTTTCAGGGTTCTTCCTGCGTCTCGCCCAACATCAATATAGCCACTGTCACTCTTGTTGTTGCTATCATTACTGTTCTTATTGTCATACGTGAGATCTTGGCAGTTAGCTTTAACGCTGCCGTGAGCGCGCTTTGCTCTACGGTCGTTTGCTGCCACTTTTGTCAACTACCAATATCCTCAACGGTCACTGGATAGCAAATCATTACATTCACTAATTCTCTTTCAGCTCACAATTTTCATTTAAGCTCAAGCTCTCATATTCGTCAGCGTTCGCATGCGGCCTCTGAATATTTAGGAAAATTTATGCATTCTTGAACTATTTTCGTCACTAGGACCATTAGAAGCAATGCCAACAGTTTTCGTGGTGATTCTAGTCGAATGGTAGGGAAACTCTGTGTTTGTTCTCCTCCTTGTTTGTTAATTACATATCTATACACACATATATATGTATAAAGTATATGTATATAAAGTGCGCCACCTCATTCTTGCTTGACCTATCTGTATTGACGTGGAATTGCCCGCTTGTCAAAGGCACCCATTCCGCGATTTCACCGTGATTCGAGCATCTTCAATAAATCTAATGCCATTATCGGGGCCGTCTCAATTTGCTAGTTACGTCAGGGCACAAAGACCATACGTAAGAAGTGACGTGGTCAGAGTTCTAAACTTTCTGAATCAATTATCTGCCTCTGTGCGAGGTACCTGCTGTAACGGTAACGATATTGCTCCATTAAGTGTCGACATTATAGCCAATTAGCTCAGCTACAAAACTACGGACTGCAGATACGCACGCCTACAAGTTAGCTATTTCGGCATGAGACGGTGTTTTCACAAACGAGAATTAACTTACCAGAAGGAAATCTCTGTAGAACCTCGGTTGAACTCTGTTATTCAGGTCTCAGATTTTACAGATCTGCGTCTGTTTGATTCCTTTACTCTCTGTGGCTCTTGTGTCCTTTACCTCTCGCTTTCTGTTTAATTTCCACTAGTCCGTTCGTCAATCTCGACTGTTTTAATCTTTAATGTAGAATATTTTCATTGGCGGTTTTTCACGTTACCCTTGTTGTCGCCGCTGTCTTATAGAAATATATATTAATGAAGTTCGTCTCATCTGCGACGTTAGAGCGCATGCGCGTGCTTAAAGAACCAAGCGTTCGAAGAAGTCGTAACTATATACAAGTTTTTTCGGCCGTAGTTATGTTTAATTGCCCCATGACGCCTTGTTAGTCGTTTGCGTCAGGTAGATAATTAACCGTTTAGACCCGCGTAAACGACCTATTGTACGCTGTCGGGCTAATTAGTCAGCACGTACAGAAGGTTGGAAAATAGACACCAAGTGTTCATTCCGTTGATGTACGCCATCTTGTTTCCAGCTGACAATTTCATCCACATTCATACATGGTCAATACGAGTTAACTTCAATCAGCGACACGATTCATTCGCTTGATGGTCGTAGTTTAGTTTATCACAATTCAGAGGGAAACCCTATTTCGGCCGCCAGTTAACTTAGGGCAATGGATGAACTGTACACGAACCGCGTATTTCTCAAGCGAGCCCTATGGCATTGTTAGTGTTTGACAAGGGCTCCGTTAGTCGCTAGCCCGATCTGGGTCGTAACGCGTTTGCGGCTAATAGTCATCGTATGGTGGATTAATGAAGAAAAACACCCTATGAGCCGAATGGTCGGCATACGAGAAGGATATATAAAATGCATGAAGTAGTATTTGTATTAGTAATTATATTATAAGTACATATTAGCTAAAAGAAGAACTAGTAATAGCAAAAAGTTACTAGGGCATGATCGTCATTATATATGTAGGATAAAACAGATGGAACAAATGTCACGGGAAGGTCAATGCAAATCTGTTAATTGCTTTATTGGCTGTTCTCGTGATGATGCTAAGATCGTTTAGTTGCCTGTTCAACAAAGGGGTACGGTACGTGGTGACCTAAACCGAAACTAGTCAGGCTCGGTGGTCGACAAAAACACCTTTACAAAGCTGTGCCAATCCGACGAAAATTCGATAAATCTATCCGAAAAATGGGCAAGTACCCAAAATTGTGGTTCGCATGTGCAGTTGACACGTGCCTCCGGCACTGAAATCGACTGATGCTCAGGAAAAACAGCCGTAGAGCTATTCTGTCCTCGCCTGCTCCGAAAACAAACGCCAAACATATCTGTAACTGTCACCAACGCCAGAGACAGGATTGACACAGACCAGGAGACCATTTCGTAACTCATATATATATATATATATATATATATATAGAGCAGCAGCTTCTAGCAACCCGTGGACGCCATGTAAAATCTCTAAAGATCCACTACGGTCTCCCTAAACTCAGCTCGCTTTCTATATCGCTTCTATTCTTTATATTTGCTTGTTTATTCATCGTGACCATTATGGGAAGCAGCAGTAGTAGCGTAGTTCTTTTTACGGCGGCATGTCTTTGCCAGGAGGACTAGGACGAATATATCACTATAATACCGTTCCGTCGCATATATTATTATTATTATTATTATAGTACTCTAGTAGCAAACACTCTGTCGCCATTTTTCGACTATACGCACCTTAGAACGAAGTTTTTCTACATTCGATTTTACTTCACTTGCGTTTGTTCCAACCGACTATTATAATCATTATCTCATAGAGTAAATTTCGCACAGTCGTCAGTGATGATTATATATTCATCATAAGTAGCACAAAGTTAGTAGTGAGATACATATAATAAAAGTAACAATAGTACAAGCTAGATCAGTTAGTCCGCGTCATCCTAAGTGATTGATTGTGCTCGTAGATTTGAGCCGTTTAACGATTCGCCCCCAAAAAGGCAGCGCCTACCATTATGTACACTTAGGGTTGTCTGTGTCCTTCTCAACCGCACGCGTCAGACTGAAACGTTCATTTGTATTAAACCACTGGGCGTCGACTCGCGCGTGTGTGACAAACGAGATCCCGTTTCGAGTAATTGTGTTTTGCCGTTAAAGTGTAAAATATGATATAATCAGGATTATTAGATAAGATGAACGTATTTGTTTAAGAAAGTGTAAGGTATCAACGTTTATTTCTTTTATCCTTTTCTAGGCCGGAAAAACACGCTAGCAGCAACGGCCCGATCACGATGCAGTCGGACATAAGCCGGACTTCATTTAAAATGTTATTCCATTCGTTGATAAATATTGAACAAAATGAAAGGCAATGTTCAACCAATTGGCGAAAAGTTATTGTTAGTATTTTTTTCCGCTTAGGCGATCGTCGGCCGCATTTTGTGCCTGTGCGCCGTGTTTTTGCTTTTGTAATCGATGATTTTGTAGTTGTAACTGTAATATTAACCGATACGTAAATCTGTGGGGTAACAGTATATGCTCGTGCAATCTCTCACAGCGGTGCGGGGGCAACCCAACTGCCTACCTAACTTGCAATGGTCATTACTCGACTGATTAATATCGTTCCTCAATATCGCTGAATCACATTGCCATCTCTCAGTGCTGTCGCACATAGTTAATATTGCCGTAATATCCATACAATTATTGTTGATATCTCTCGCTCTATACTAAGTGCTTATAACTTAGTTATTAAGAACTGCCCAACAACAACGAAGCAGACAAAATCGGCCGGAGGTTCGCTAATCGGGGTATACAAAAGTGTCCTCATGAATTTAAATTGCTTCTCCCTTCTTCTTCTTCTGTCCTGACTACGTCTTCCTCTACATTCATACCATGTATACTACTGCTGTTATGAGATGTGTATAGATCTTTATTTCTTACATACGTAGCGGAAAAGCATGTATCAGGCCTCACCAAGAATTCCACAGTCCTCCATGTATAGTCCCTCGTTGATATACTATAAGACGATTGCATGCAGATCTGTGCAGTCCAACAACTGTAGCATCAAAACCCACAGGTCATATAATTGGCCCGTCCGTATTAACTGCTCTATTGAAGCGTAGCGTTACCGTGGCCAGCCATCTAGCTGGCGGAGAGTATTTTTTGTTTTCCTTTGGCTTTCTTTTGTCGATGTATCGATGTGCTACTACTCTCGATGCTACTACCGTTCTGATGTTTGTATTGATCCTATGTAGTGTTTAAGCTCCTGTGAGAGCGGGGATGTGGTATTCTGTTCGTCGCCATTAGTAGCGTGATTAGTTTTTAATCGCATGTTTCCTCTTTCTTCCCTACCCCCTCTGTAATATTATAGAAGATGCCTAAGGCCCGCTACAAAAAATGTCTAGAATCACCGGGTACACAAAAAAGTTTACTGTCTCAAGTGGTGATTCCGTTTTAGTGCTACCTGTGCATCTACATCTATAGAAATGGTTAACTGGTGCCCTCGACGCGAGGCGCACTAGTCAGTGATTTTCATTTTTCTAAACCGAATTTTTCCTAGTGCTTTTCCTGATATCACCGATTACAGTAAAGGCTAAAAAATCAGACTGAAAAATATGCCCAGATAGAGCGTGCATTGAACATGCACTGTCCATAACGGTACTGGTAACCAAGTAGCTATGCGTCTAATAACCGGGCGTCATTAATAATTTGTGACGGTTATTCCTCTTCGGGAAAATTGTTTTGCTGATGCGTTGCAACATTATGAGCTAATTTATATTCTATTAAATATCGCCTTCCGGTCCTATCAAAAAGATCTGCTGAGCTTCGATAACTATCAGTGAGACAGTAGTTCCTTGCTACGTTTGACAGATAGATCCCCGTCGTGGCTTGCAATTGATTGTACAATCAACTCGCATATCATCCGACTACCTCATCAATAGACGATTTACCATCTATACTCTCCGATTCATTTCATACATTCCACCTGCATCGAACTTCATCATCCAGTACATTTTACTGATCATCGCGCCTCGTCGCCATTATCATTAATTCGTTTAAGCAGTTCCCTAGCTATCATTCTGGATCAGCACCCCTCGTCTCGTGCCAGCTTTCTGCCGATCATTCGTTGAAGTCGCTGACTCAAAAACAACAAAGGCTCTAACGCTGAAGCAATGTCAACTTGAATGGATCGCGGGGGTATCCCCAATTGCCACAAGGTTCTTCCATCGCCGGGCGAGGCTTTTGTCCGATCAATGAAATCAGCTTCGTCTTTCGCCTGTGCTGACGCATCACATATTATTATATATAAGCGATCACATAGTCCATCAGCCGATAAAAATCTTCCTCCAAAAAATCTTATCATAGTGAAATCGTTTACCCCCCCCCCCCCCACACACACACACCATAGTTGCCCTTAGAGTAATACTGTTACGCAAGTGTCGCATAGATATTTGCTTCACCGAATGACTAGGCTAAAACTGCTCGTGTGATTCCTTTTTCTGTTTTTCCTCATTTTTATTCATTATAAAACGAATACATGCAAAGATAAGACGACCGTATCCCTAACCTGCGCTCCTGCTTTACAATCGGTGATTGATCAGTTAGTCATGTTGTTACCAATGGAGCAATTCGTCAACATCTAGGGAATACGTTGCGCCTACTTCTTGCCATTGGCTGCCTACCATGACTGGGAAAAAGGGTATTTTTCGTCACGACACAGCGCGCTTACGCTCTCTCCTGTCTGGAAGTATATTTAATTATATAGCAATTATATAACTTATATCAAGACAATTATTATCGTCACGAGTTGTTATGTCCTTGCTATCATCGTCTTTTTCATATTTGTGTTCTTCGAGGTTAGAAAACGCTGTGTGACTAAGCCTTTTGTATTTATTATAAGTAATCATTGTAACTATAATAATTTAATAAGTCTCCGTAACTTCATCTGCTGGCAGCATATCGTCGCTAGAGAGCGTCAGCGTCAAGGAACGCGATGATCAGCCGTGGAATAGGACGCCAAGCGACCACGAGAAACAATTCTATAGGTTCAACTGCAAGGAGCATGTTAAATCACAGACCAGATAATTGAGGTTGGCGAATTAGATCAAATCGCCTGCGTCGCACGTTTACGCCATCACCACGGCGTCCTTCCGTATCACAATTTATAACCCATAATATCAGAACTGTAATCGCTAATCCTGAGGTCCTTAGTCGGCATCACAAACCTATTCAGCTTAGATATGAATTAGAGTATTTCAGCTATTGTTGCAGTCGTTCCATAGACATAGCTTAGCACTATGTTTACATTTTGGATTCGTCTCTTCACGGAGCAAGCTAACATTTGAGTAGATCCGCCGTGTCGAGCTCACAGATGCCCCCTTTTACTTACTGTATTTGTGATAAACTAATGTACGTTTCTTTCTTCTCTCTTCCTGTGGCTTCACCTTGAGCTAAATGACGACGGCATACGGCCACACCTGTTATTAGGTATTGTGCCAAGACGATAGCGAATAGATCTACTAGATGTGTAGCTAATCAGGATATTGGAACCGGCGGTCATCGCGTCCGTAGTAGATGTTTTATCGCTCGAATTATATACGATTTGTTGTGCATGGCTAATGATTTTTGTTTATTGGAAGGCCTGTTTGTTGCCAGCTTGCTCGACCGGTAAAATTATATCGGGCAGGAACTCGTTTGCTAATTGCAATGATGCTCTTCTTCTTCCTCATGGATGATTTCGTTGGCGCTCGCTCCACTGTGTTCATAAGAATACAGTTAATCAAAGTTTTTCGCTATTGTGGAAAAATGCATCTTTCTTCTTTCTTTTTTTTTTTCGCTCCCGTTTTAAAGGTCGCGTCTAATCTGATTGAAATTGCTACTTGTGAGAAATATTGTATACGAGAAAAGTCTATGCCGTATCAAAACGTATCGTCATATCAACTACCTGCTTCTACTGGCTAATGCCGGGGTCTTCATGTGCTGGGAACGTGACGAAGCCCGCCGTTCTGTCGTGGAACGGTTGCGACGGACGTCTTTAAGTAACACCGCACCACCGGGGGAGCGTGCGTTCGATTTCAGGCTCGTACTAGGCGCTAGATCGGAGAAGACACGACAGGGTATAGCGCGCTTGCACAGAACCCCCGGTGCCTGAAAGCGTAGTGCAACCAGGTCAGAATAATGATAGAATAATTAAAAGATTGCTAATTACTATAGCAAGTCCCAATTCGGTCAAGACACACACATTAAGGTTGCTTAGAACGGCCTGATTATCCATGACGCGTGCTACACATGTTGTAAACTGCATCAGATTTCAATTAGAGGCCAAATTGAATAATAAAATGGATATGATCTGTTCTTTTTTTTCTCTACAGATCACGTCGCCTTCTGTAATTCTCTGTTGACAATAATAGGAATTGCAATTTTACCTGATGAGGCCACGCATCGTCCGGTGCCAACGACCAGCAGATGAAGCTCAGAGACAGCTGCTAGACCTGTAATGAGCCACGTAACGATGCGTGCGAATATTTAACTCACGAATAACTCATCAGATTTGCCGTCACCTTGTCCGACCTAGGTATGTTTCTGTGCGCCTGTTATTTTTTTTTAGCTCAATTTAACTTGCTGGTTATCATCAAGACCTGACGGATAAGCTGACAAACCTTTCTGAAGGACTCTGGGCAGTCTGGCTGCCTTGATGGGTGGGCGCGTATAAACGCTTCCAGCGTCGCTAGGTGGGCATCCACGGCTACGATCTATTGGCGGGAAACGGGATGGTAGGAAACCAATTTTAATCCAAGTTATGCTTTGTCATACATGTTAAAAAAGCTTTCGTTTCTAATATATTATAGCACATATTAGCAAGGCGGTTCCGTACCCTAAAATGCATGTAATTTAAAAGGATAGTCCCGAAGTTATGTTTAAGCGATCAGTGTCTGTAAATCGGATGCTGTAAGTATTACCTTCGGAAAACGGGACATATCGACCCCGAAACGGCGCGCATTATACACCTGAAATAATAGCATAAAGAAAAAAAAAGTGTAAAACCTAATCTAATGTGATGATTAGAAAGAAAGAACGAAAATTTTCAAAGGTACATTTTGATACGGCTAACGAAAGGCTTAGGCGAATCTATATTGTGTGGTCGATCTAAAACATGGCAGCGTCCTCATGAAACCTATGTTGAATTTGTTTTACGTCGTAACAAGTAGTGCTCCGAAGCCAAGAAAAATCGTATGCTCAAGATGTGAATGAATGAATTATAAAATATCATTTAAAACACAGCGAAGTCGTTGCGTACCTGAGGTACCAGGCAAAAATCTGCCAACGTCACCTGCTCGCTGATGCAGCAGCCTAAAAACAGAATATCGCAAAGGTTAGGCGTAGCCCTTTAGAGTCCAATACTCATAATAATAATATGAGTTACAAAATTGAGAGCGGCCGGTCGTAATCTTTGGAGAACATTTGTTTACTACTAAACTATAAAAAAAACTATCAAAAGTATATAACACGTATGTCTTACTGCGGGCATGATATAAACATCACTCAAACAATGACGACGTCTACCTTTACGTACCTGTAACAAAAACCCGATCCGAAAGCATTCGTTCGAGTGCCTCAAAGCCCTTATTAATAAAATATCGAGCCCACTCTTGACGTTGGTCGGGTTCCAGCTGAAAATCGACCATGAGTTACTGACAGTGCAGTCTGACTAAAGGATCCCGTTTTTAATACCTAAGCACGTCGTCCTAGGCTTATAATGGCCTATTCTTGCTCTGTAGCCTAAAAAATATTGTAAAACAACGGTACGAGACACACTGTAGGGTAACGATATCGACAACAAAACGCATGAGAAAAGCACTAATAACGCAACTACTAAACATAACTTTTATTTCCTCGTATAATCAGAAAAAATGGTTTTCGACGATAAGGATTACATTGTTAAAAGCACCACATAATATACATTATCACATTGTTGTCAAGACATTAATTAGAATCATGTTCACTATATATGGTCTTTAAGCAAAAGCAGACTCTCAAAACATTTATACAGGTCGCCTAGCGACCTCTTACCTTGTTTAAGGTCCCTAAGTTTTGAATGGGTTGAATCCCGCTGACGATGAGTTGACAGAGCGCTCGGCATTGAGCCCGTTGCAGCAAATCTGCATACGAATGGAATATCGGAGCCGTAATATTAGTTTACAGATTTACTAAAAGACTTGACTTGAAAAGGACTAAATGAAGGACGATGAAAAAAGTAATGGACGCAAGGTGTTGATGGACAATGGAAGTTCTCACTCAACTTAATAGTTCAATCTATGCATTACTTTAATGAGAGTAATAATAAAAGGATGCACAAATGAATATAAACATCATATGGGTACATAGTACTACCGGGTACAGATAATAAGCGCGCGATATTATACACCTTTTCAATACAGCTTTTCCTCTCTGAAAAAAGAGGAACCTCACATGGCCAATTCGATAAAAATTACCCTCTGGGTGTATACGATCCAATACAATATATTATATATGAGTACTATATTTTGGAAAAGCTGTTAGCCATAATATTCTACGGGGACATTTCGATACGTCTGGTTCTAAATAGATGGTTCGGAATAAGGGACAGTTGTCGAAATTGTTCACGCACGGATTTAGCGGCTGACTTTCAATCACCGTGCGATAGCAGCAGCGGCAACGACATACTGCTATTATAGCTATAACAATGGACATACCTTTAGGTAATAGGTTAACTCCTGAAAAGCTTTCATCGATGTATTCCATGATGGCCATGCTCTGTGTTAGGTTAGCAACCAGTTCTCCACTTTCGTACACCTACAGTAATAATTATCAGCATGGATAAGGTTACGTTCTGTTACAGCGTCCACTGCGGCAAAAACAGGCCATTCGTAGGCCTCCTTTGGCCAGATTGGAAGTACGTTAACGCAACTAGACTCAAGTGTGGAATATGTCCACTGCCTGTATATAAGCAGTGGAGTGCTAGTACTAATAGTATGAGTGATCACCTGTAAAACGGGTACTTGGGATAGAGGATTTAGCGCACGAAACTCGTCCGTGTGTTGTTGCTTGCCTGGTGAAACGAAGTAGTCGAGAAATGATTTGTTAGACTCAAATGTAACAAAACAATAACGAATCCAGGCATATTAGCTATTGTATTTATCTCAATTATCTGGTGTCACTCTGAGTAGCCTTTTCTGCAAGCGTATGAATCCTTATCTAAAATCCTCAAACATTAAGTTAACTTTAGTCCTCAATATTACCTTCAGGGATGTCTTCCCGAATGTTAACCTCGCGATAGGTATATTTGAGTCCTTTCGATTCGAGTGCAATCCGCACCCGCCAGGCGCACGAACTTCGAAAGTACGAGTGCAACACGAGAGATCGCGGACGTGGGATCTTCTTGTCTATGAAGAATCGCACAGCAGTAGGGCAATCGAATTTGACTATCAGTAATTACTATCATATCTTTTGCGCTAGTCACCATTTTCTGCTTATCTACGTTGCAAGCTATCTGACCAATCGATTTATTTGTATCTATACGTAATCTTATTATACCTACGTTCGTCGTCAAACCTACACAATCTGCCTTTGCTCATAGATGTCAGTCTACACAAAAATACAACATTTTAACGCTAATTTAAGCTTGGAAAAAGAAAAAGAAAAAGAAAAAAAAACTTATTACCAAGGAGATCAGTCCGCGACGAGCTGCAGTTATCGTTAGTGGCCATTTTAGCGCTGCGAGTGCTACAAATACTCGCTCGGTGATTTTGGCTCTGTAAGCAAAAATGCAAATGGATATGATTGAATTACAATTACTCGTATATCTCCGTTCGATAATACGGCTTCGCTATGTATCCTGCCTGTCGTATGAATACGTGTGGGTTTAATACTGATGTGACCCGACTGGGCAGCACGAAGCAGGAGTTAGCTGCTGGACGTTCAAGAAACGAGTACGAACTCAAATGATTTAGAGCCAAAATTGACGCTGAGTAGGAGACAAGTAGAGAAAGTGAAGAGCACCTACTCAATAACTCGGACAGTTAGGGAGCAGACTTCGCGTGCGAAGAACCTATGAAAAAGGATGAAAGGCCAACATGTGCCCCGGAGTTATATTTGGGCCTCAGCAATCAACGTATAACTGAGCTATACGTTGTCATATAAAGTTAATATAGCCAAGTATTTGCCAAGTATATTGATAAAGGGACTAGGCCACTTACTGCACATCATGTAATAGGTTAGATATCTTAAGGCAATAGATTAGCTGGTAAATTTTGTGATTTTTTGCCTAAATTTAGGAACGATGTCCATTTGTCCTTTAGGATCTTATAAAAGTTGCTTAATTTAGAGCAAAAATGTGTCCATGTAATCAGTTATGACAGTCTGTTAAAATGAGTCTACTGTAGCCATAACAGCCTTAACAAATCAAACTAAAGAAATATTAGATTTAGGGGCTATTGAAAACATTTAATCGTTGCCTACCAGCTTAATAAGCGCCATGTTGTACAGAATCCTTGTTAGTTTAAGTGAAAACGAAGCTCGTATAAAATCTTTATAACAGACAGGCGATTCTGCGCTGCCGGTCACAGGTATCCTTGAATTCAATGAACGCTGGGGGTCCTGCGCTGTTCTGTACGTATCTCGCTGTACCACTGAAGACCGTAAATGCGATTGCTGTGAAAAAACTGCCATCGATCGTGGCCATTCGATGACCGTCGATCGTCATCGAATACGGTTCGCGTTGTGAGCGGAAACTACGCTACCACGGGGACCCTGGAAGGTACTATGGGTCAGGCAGAAGCCTACGTAGAGTATACTTGACTCACTTTATTGACAATTGGTTACAAATAGGTCAGTTTTTATAGCGACACATAATAGTCGTTTAAACTAAACGAAATTTGTGGTAGAACCGCATAGGCAGGGACGCATCGACGAAGAAGCTACTTTCTTTTACCGAACATGGGATTCAATCCAATCAGGTAGGCGTCATAAAAGTGCGTTTATTCATTAAACGCTACCAGTATCGCCTTTTGCGCACTGTCATTATTTCATAGTCCAACAGGTCTAGACGAACCTTATGGTAACATTATATGTAGAAGACGAGTGTAGTTTTCATTACTATTCCAGGATTCAGGATACGATACCAGCCAATCGTGCATGTCCGTAGTCGACATTATTAAATGGGCCTGCTCCTATGTGCGCGAATCGTCTGACCTAATTCACTCATGCGTAAGGCACAAAAACCTAAATACAAGTGTGAACTATCGGGGCAATCTGTTGTCAATCCCGTTTAAGCTGGACACTTAACTAACGAATTCGCCATTGCGTCGTCGTCGTCATCATCATCGTCGTCGTCGCCGTTATCGTGCGTAATTACAATTCCGGCGGATGAGTTTTACCCATTAGCTTGTTTTCCTTTAGCTCACGCAAGGCCATGCGCGAGATATCGATCGAAGGCAACGTGGGCTCCCACTTTTTCACGTTCTCCGTAAACAAAACGCCATTGATAGCTAGTCGATTGTACGAACAAATTTCGGATCTCGTTTCGTATTGTAATCCGTATTGTTTTACCCGTATAGCGTATCCCTCAACATTTGTGTGTCGGTCGTTTTCATGTTGCCAAGACAGAACAGACACTTCATTGATATCCACGCAGCAGTAATCCTAATCTGACGCTGCCCCATAAGCCACGGTGGCTACTAAGTCCTTAAGGATTGATTGCTTAGATGTTGTTAAATATCAGGCACGACTCGATCAAACAACAACGGTTACATGAACTTTGGATGGACCGATGGAAAAGTGGGCAGCGGCCCGCGGCGGGATTAAGTTCATACGGTAGTGAAGAAATCGTTATTTTGCAGTTACTCGATGATACTGTAAAGTTTACACGACGCGAGCTGTAGTAATGGACAGGGTATGTTAATGAGAAGTGTTGGGTCCTACAGTATTTGTATCATTATTATTAACCAACCAATCGGCTAAGAATTTTACGATTACCACACATTACTAGAATTGCCCTCATTAAAATTGCATAATCATAATATATCGTAATAGTTGTTGAAACACACAATTGTTAGAAACAAATGAAACGATTGTTGGTGTCAATTTGGCTATCAGCCATATTGCCAGTGGTACCTGCCCGTAAATAGGCCTCCTGCGTGCCACATGCTTTCCGTGCACGGAATTGAGAGGTGAGGCCCATGTCGCCCTTCAACAACGCCCTAAAGAACGACAGTTTTCCGTTCATATTTTTGTAAAGCATGCTTATTACAAGTGTATGTGTCCGTTTGTCGTTCTGAGTGTACCTCTGAGCGTTAGCTCCTTCTGTCGGTAGTCTTGTTTATACCGTCATGTGTAGGAGGGCGTCGTCGGATCGCCTTCATCTGGCCTCATTGTTGCTGCGTTCTCAAAACGTTTCCCGCCTTCGTTCGTACTTGCTAGTGTTTTTACAAGTTCAATGTAATCAAAACACGGATATCGTTATAACAGCGGTTAGAGCGAGAAACTGCTACTGATTTCGCTCGCTGCCGAGTCAGGTCAATAGACGCTCACCGCTAGCTGACTGATGACAGTTGAGACGAACGATCAAGCTATCAAAGCGTCAGCAGGTTCGAATGCGTAAACCTTAAGGATCTGTGCGTCTTACAGAACATATTGGTCCGTTCTTTTTTTTCAATGTTTCATCCGTGCTGGGTTTATGGACAAAACGCGGATATTTGTTACTACTTGTGTTATATACGTCAACACTAAGAAGAGGGTGTAAATAGGCGGCCAACAATTATTCATCTGCTGGGCGACATCAAGCGACGAAGTCAGTGGGTAACAAAACCCAGACAGTTTCGACAAGATACAACAGAGTAGGTTGAATGACTGAATAATAATAAGGATAGATAGGATCATCACACAGGGCGGAGTCTTTGCGTATTTCAATATATTCAATGCTTTAATAATACTGTGATGTTAATTCGATCTGCTCAATAAAACGAACGGAGGTGACTGCATCGACGATTTTGATGGATTTCCTGAGCCAGTTGGCATCTATGTGATAATGCCGCTTTCTCTACACATGGACATATGTACCTTGGATGAAATTCAAATCGAAGCATGGACAAGCTAGCTGTGTGTTATGTTAATGTTTCTAGTTTTTCGGTCCTGTACTACCTACAACCGACTTCTTCCACCGCAACGGAGACGGCTAACTATGAACTGGTTAGCAGCGACGGCCAACAAAAACTTCGAAATTTCCTATTTTGTAATCGTGCGTTTTTTTTCTTCACCAAAACAGCTGAGATTGTGAGGTTTCAGAGTAAATAATAACGATTTGCCTGTTCGACCACTAACAGGTTTGCCATCCAGCTTGGTTCTGGCAAGAATGTAACTCTTAACATAGACATTTGTGTATACACAATTGTATCGTTTTGCGATTTCGTTTGCTTATCGTTTGTATGATTAGTGTGCTCGTATATTACTTAGAGAAAGTTATTTATGTATTATATATTTTCGCTATATGCGTACGGTACGGGTTCTCGTAACGTTCGGCGGTGGTGTGTCTTCGTGCTTTTGTGTTTGAAAGCGGAATAGATCGATCGATCGATCGATCGATCAGTTTGATTATCGTCAACTAATGGTTACTATTGTTTATCCAGACCTCAGACAAACTCACGTTTTGAAAAGGTGATCCCTGACTACGGCCTGGAAGCTCGTTCCCAGGACAGCCCGCAGCTGCGAAGGCAAACAACAGGGGAAACACGTAGTTTAGTCACCGGATATAGAAAAGATCGTGAAATCGTTATTTCATTTAGATGCTAGAAGAAGCGAAGTGAAAAGCAGCACAAAATACGTTTTTATTTAGCTTCGCTGTTATCCGCGTTATCGTTAATAGAGAAACAGGTACATATAGGTACGAATCAAAACGAAAACAGCTGTCGGGCCTAAAATTTGATTGAATTGATAATTACGCAAGAACGAGCCCGTTTCGAAGCATGTGATTAAAACGTTCGATACCGGTACAGGCTTAACATGCAGCTACAGAAACAAATCCGTAAAATTATGCTACAGAATACTATGTCTTGCCGTTGCAGCGTCAAGAACAACAAAAAACCAATAGCAGAATCCGATACTCATCTACCGAAACTTTACTACGGTCTATATGTTGATGCAATGTATGATACAGAAAGACTCTCACCTCTTTTTTTGTTTTTTTTTTTCTACTTGAATTGGTTCAAGTGTTCATTGTAACAGGGTAGTATCTTTTGATGACTGTGAATTACCTTTCAATTGACTAATGGTTAGCTGGTTACAATCTATAGCTATGTTTTAAGGTACATGCTAATTATTACAAATGTCAGCAGGCTGCGTTACAATTGAAGTGCGGCGAAACCTTCTACTACGGTATATTTAGGAACACCAAATCGCAAGTAACTGTGCGTTCTCTCTAGATGAAATATCACTGATTTTCTATTCGTAGTCTCTTACAGACACTATGATCTTCATTGCGTGACTCCGGCGATTCTGACAATTATACTGATATACATTAGCGCCCGACTTTAACGCTCATAGAAGCGTTTCGACGTCCGCACAGACTTCACGCAACAGGGGAACGTTTTGCGCCAGTCTTCTTGGATTGTTCAATCTTCGATTTTAGTACGTGTTGAATCAACCATTTTCACAGTCGCATGCACACCGGGCACGTAGATCCAAAAAGTTACGGAAATACTGACTGAAGTTTGTTACAGTTCCACAGACGCTACTCAGCTTCTGCTGCTAACTATGGGATGAATATCGTTTGTTATATTGCACAACAATAATATAATAGCTAATGCCGTATCATAGGTAGCATTAAGGCACCAATAAATTTAAATCTAGTAAAACTGGAGCCCATATTATTTCATAGAAAACGCCGGCAAACAAAGACGCCTAACGCACTCTTAGCAAACAGGAACAAAACAAGTCGAAAGCTGAAAGCCAAAATCAATATTTCTCTCAGAGACGTAACCTCATTCAAATGTGCAATATACGTTTAGAATGCGAGAACCGACCAGGCGAGATTGTGTAACAGCCAGACGCGGATGCACATAGAACAGTAGGCCAGTTGGGAGAAAGTTCCCAAACAACTTAGTTAGAAACAAAGTAAGTATTACCACTTATATAATTAGTAGTCACTCGTTCTTAGCAAACGCAGACAGGTGATGGCACTAGTGAATGAAGGCGTATATTACCTGCAACAAGTGCTTTCCGTTCGGCAGCTCCAGCGTTGGTGGTGCCATCGACGCTCATAGTGCCATCCAATTTCAATCTTTCTATCCTTGCCGTTGAGTGGAACGTCCTCCTACCGCCTTCTTACAGTCTGTCTTTTTTGCCACTTCTATTTGGCTTCGTGGCCCTGGTCCAAGGCTTAGCTTTTACTGTTGGCCTTGCCTTTTCATAGATGTCGAAAGGCTCCCCGCCCATCGGACAAAAATAGGTGTTCGTTGCTTCCGCAGTTTCCTCACTGCTTATCCTCCAACGATACCGTGCTGATAACCACAGCAGTCCGCGTTATATTTGCTCCTGTCCTGACACGTTACTCGAAACGGCCGTAGTTGCAATTTTCATTCATTTAAGCATTCGGAGTCGTTGGCTGTCCGAATCGTGGGGCAGCGATAGAACGGGCAACTAACTGGTCAGCGAGCCTGCAATGTTAGGACCTTCAGCGAGAAATCCAACAACGCATGAACAGGGCTTTAAAGAGCCACTGTGAATGTCGTTGTCGTTTTCAGCGATTTTTCATGGATGCTTCTATCATTTTTGGCCTGTCTTCTAGTCGCCAGTGGCGACACAAGTAAGCAGTTGCGGACCAGCTGATCGGCAACGAGTTTCAATTTCAAAGAAATAAGTCCACTACCTCAGCGCAATTCCCGATTAGCTACGTATCACCTACGGAACAGCAAAAAATTCACGACGATTCAAATCAAGCTGGGCCCCGAGCTGTTGAAGCATACATATTTGCTATCGTAACCGTATATTATACAATTCGTGGCTAGATTTCTTCTGCTATTGCAGCTGCGTGTGCAAAGATGGCCTCAGCGATTTCCTATTTTCGCCTGGTAGTGATAGGGGTAATGATGACGACGACGACGATGATGATAATGGCGGCGCCGCTGTGCGGTCGTCACATTACTCGCAAAAGGGCCAATGGTGAGTCGTGCACTTATAACGAATGATGGAAAAGGCGACGCACTATTGAAATATCACAGGACGCGAGGTAGCGACACGGTCGAATAAACAATAGAAAACCCCGTCTTCGTTGTTTTTTCTGTTTCTCGTCTTGACAACAACACACAACTTGATGATGATGATGATTCTGCCGTTGCGATAGCTTCGCGAGTAGAAATGCCGCAGAAGGCGGTGGTGGTGATGGTGATGGTGACGGTAAGGGGCGCAGGCCGAAGAGGCTATGCGACTCGGTGCTAAAAACCGCGCAAACGATGCGTCGTCCATCCGACCGTATAACGGCATATGAGCAGCAGTAGAGGATAAACGAAATAGATAGAGACAGAACAAATGTATAAATGTCAAACTGATTGCGTTGGACACGACGAGGTCGGGAGAAAGGTCAAGGGCAGAGGGGTATCGGAGAATTTGAGAACAGTGTGATCTACTCATAAGGACGGAAGTCCTTATCAACCTATTGGACTCCTCTCATAAATTAGTTAGGTTTGATGACATGATCACACGAAAGGGTCTCTATTGCGTACGCTCCTTTGACTTAGATTATCCTCCGTATTTAAGCGATACCAGGTTGCAGGACCGATTCTGTCTATATTTATGGTATCATTTGTTAGACGTTAGGACTATATCTGATATTAGATGGGTGAAACTGATGCGATTCATTTGTGTTAGGCTACCTGTACCGTATAGTAGTTAACGGAAATCAACCATTTATAATATTTATTCCTCACATCAATTCGTACGTCACCGAAACTCTTGTAGAAGTTTTTATTTTTTTAAAAAGGGTATGTCGTCATTGTCATATTTGACGTTCTACTTCAAATATACAAGTGTTATTAATAATTAAATAACTAATTAAGAAAAAAAAGTGCGAGAGCGAGAGAGAGATAAAGTGAGAGAAAAGACATGGACGTTCCACGCATATGCCAAGAGAATGTGCTCCGATATCATCATACAGAGCTTACCATCAATAAACTGTCTGTTCAGTCTCGGCATAGAGTTTTTTTTGCATCTATTTAGCAGCAGGTTATTTATCTGGGATATGAGTTTTCGCCTATTTAAAATATAGAAGCGTCTACAGAGCAGAAAGAAATGACGTTCAGAAATGCCCTATTTATCATACGCCATAGTAAGAAAGCATGTTTCGAGGGGAACTGTACATAGTCCGTGGCAGGGGAAGTAAACTAGGGAAAAAGGATGCATTTTGATGATGCGTCCTATATCCTCATGGTGGCCACTTGCTAACTTCTACAAAGGCAGCGTGCGCACGTAGGAAATATTTCAGTCGAATGGGAACGCAAGCCAATGCCGCAATGACCTTTCTTAGTGGTGAGAAGGTCCTATTCGCGACCCATAATCATACGACGTAGCATCATATTTTGCACCCCTGTTCAGTGTGTTGACAAAAGATAAGGACTTAATTATTTGGATAGGTTTCCGTATTTCATGGAGACTTCTCGGAAATACATGAGAACGTCACTACTGCTCCGGGCTCTGCTCCTGTGCTTTAAAAGTGGCTAGACAAGCTCAGGGGAGATTATCATGACTTCTCTATCAGAGAGAAAATCACTGGTGCAAAGGTAGCTTTTATATCACACTATATATGCGATCAAATGAAAAAGTTATAGGTTGATAATACTGAACAGGATCTACAATTATTGTAAGCTGCAGCACTTCAGGCTGAATTCATTCTACCGAGTCTCGTCTTATTGTAGATTAACATAGTTTGTGCTTAGACCATCGATTTGTTTTCTGCCGCCTGCGCGTCTTGTTGTCTTCCAAAGGACAAAGTGAATCGCTAGTTGGAAATTTTGTTACAAATTTCGAAGGGTCGAAAAATTTTGGGCCTGGGGACATCAAAACAGTAGTAACAGACATAAGCTGATCAGGACAGGCAGCTATATTTCTCGTTTTGTTCTATTGCTGCTAATGAACTTGACTGCTAATTCTAAATGACTTTCAGAAAAAAAATCCAAGACTGTTATTATCAATAAAAAAAAAAAAATGTATTGAAGTTTAATTTATTCACTACTCTTTGGAGCTAGAGCGCGCTATTCTGCATGCCTGTTGAAATTCAGCTTTGCATAATTAAATACACCAGCTCCAAGCCTCTGCGCCTCACGGACCCACAAAACACGTTCCTATCATTGGTTCGCTATGTGGCTTTCTTTTTTCTTTCTCTCCGTAGCATCTTCTCTCCCATACATCTAAGGTATTTATGTACTGTACTATGCAAAACGTCTTCCTCTGTCTTACCCAGCTGGGCACTATATCACGCTGCTGATGCCTGGAACAACAACAAGAAAAGTAGCATATACGACGTAAGCACGACGTGCACGCCGACGCTCCAAGTGTGCACTTTTTGGTCGACATTCCACAGCCCACCGAAGGAGCAGTGAGGGACCGTCCCTACAGCTTTTACAGCAGAGTACGCAGGCAGTCTAAATCGCAGATCCGCGATTGAATCTGCTTTTGAAGTGTTTTTCTATAACGGTGGACGTTTCACGTTTTTCTTTCCCCGTTTGTTTAAGCACTTACTGATTATCAAACTGGCACACTGTCAATTACTTGCAGAATCTTATGGAACACAAATGCCTCGTACACACTCCTGAGTGGCTTCTAAAGTGTTTTCGTCCACCCGCAAATTCGCTGCGACACATTGCATACGTGAGGGGGGGATGACTACTTGACGATCACTTGACTTTATATCCTGTAGTGACTACAGCGACTGTAATAAGCTTCGAAACTGAAGCGCCGTATAAGACGGCTAGGATCACACACCTCATCCGCAAGCGTAAAGCAGCTTTTTTTCCGGGCGTCGCACGTCACGCACGATGCGTCTATATGACAATTTACTTAAAGACTCTATCTACACTCCCTGAGATCACAGTAAAATCACCCAGATATATTTCTGCTTCGTCTCGCGTAGAACTGCGACTCCTAATAATACTCAAAATAGAAACAGAGGTGACGTCGACCACGCTATAACAAACTGCGTTTCTCAAGGCTTCCCTTCAACCGGTTATTTTCTTGCACGATATCTAAATGGCTAATATTCTTTACAAAAACGTTGTCGTCAAAAACGTGTCGCAACTCTGTGGGCGCATCACCGCGGCTATATTATTATCTGCTAGCATTTAGGCCGATTGTACGCAAAGATCTCATATCTGCCAAAAGCCGGAAACCTCAACCAGCCTACCGCTGCTCACTACACCGTCGAATACCGGCAAGACGAGAAAAAAAAACTAGCCGAAACGTATAGCACGTCGCTGTTAACCACACAGTCACGCAGACGTTACCTATTAAAAGGCAGCGCGCCTTGGGCCTCTTCGAACGCCAACATTGGATACGCATGGACTGATGGCGAAACAGATCCCCTGGCTTCACCTGCTTTCACTGGGATAGCCTTTGCCACAACAGCAAACGCACGTCGCTCAGCACATTAGAATAGCTGCTGGCAATGAAGCATTTCTCGCTCTGTCACTAAACGTCAAACGTAGTTGTCATCGTAGCATTGAGGCGTCGTCATGTATAGCCAGCACTCTTTCAAAAAACCAATACTAGCTTGAAATGTCGAAGTAATCTTAGCAATTTCTACTTGTGCTTTCTCACTGGATTCGCCGTCCGTCATTCGGCGTCTCTTCTGCGGCCTCTGTTTCCTTTTTGTTCTTTTTGCTATTCCAGTCTCTCCTAGCTAGATCAAGGCCGCTGATTCGTCGCTAGCTGTATATCTGTTTTGGCTGTATAAATTTCGATGCCATTGTTGATTCAGCTGTACTTGTGCTGTTAGTGGTTCGAAATGTCGGGATGGATTGGTGGCTGCGCTAGCCGCTACAACGGGTAGGATCACCAGTAACGGCGCCAGCTAAGAGAAGTCGATCCAGGCAGCTAGCACAGACGTACAATGCTATTTCCTACTGCACGTACGATGCGTTGGCCAGCAATAAGAGGGTGAGGGGAGGGAGCAGCCTTGCACAGACAAGACCCCACAGCAGAATGGAGCGTCAACACGGTCCAGAGGAGAACGAAGAATAGAGCCCCGACCCCCGTACTTACATGTCCGGCATAGAAAACCATGGACGTAGAAACTAATACGATGTGTGTGTGAGAGGGAGTGAGGAGGAAAAGTATGTATGAGTGCTAGCCCACTCGAATTTATTGCAGTAGGTAGACGGCACCACCTTCACCGCCACTCCCGTCCTTTCGCTCCTGCGTCTTCGAACGGCCCTTTCCAACGCTGATCTTCTTTGCTCTCCTGTCGACGGCTTCATTGATTCGTTTGTTGGTTTGGAGATTGGGCCGTGCAGTTCTTCGTTGCCTCCTTCGGGGGCCTTTCGTTCAACGGCAGCAGGAGCCGGAGTGCCAGCTCGTGGTTCTAGCTCTCAGCTGACATTTGGCCCTACCCTTTCCTTATTTCCCAGTTTGCCCCTCATGTGCCCATGCCGAGTACCTCTTTTCTCCCTTCGGCACCACTACAAGTGCTCCTCTCAAGGCTACTCCATGCTCCTCTACTAGGTCGGAACCCTTACGCTTCAGCGGTGTAAAGCACTGGGCAGGCTCAACTACGTGCGGCGGTGAAGGCGGGGGTTGGATCTAAGGGCATTATCCCACATGCCCCTTGTGCTTCTTCTCCTCCTCCTCCTCCTAATCCTCCTCCTCCTCCCCTCCTCCTCGTCCTCCTCGTCCTCCTCCTCCTCCTCTTTTTTCATTACCTTCTACCGCCTTCGTTACTCCCCACCCTATCCGAGGCGATGGTGGAACGGCAATTGAGAAGTCGGTGCTCGCCGCTGGAGTCATTATGGTCGATTGGCAGCAATAGCGGCAAACGTCTGCTTCTGGTGGTGCGTCTCGAGCTTAACATTGCTCCTGGCGATGCTCCGCCGTTACGCTGTCGTCATCTATTTATAGACGATACTGCGCCTTTGCAATGTCTACTACTACTACGGATCTGCGGTGTGGCGATTGCTCGCTAAGATGCTCCTATACACTGCTAGTGTGTGGGATAGTTGCAATTGTCCCAGAGTTGCCTCACTGACGTCTTCGTCGTTCTCATTGTCGTCGCGCTGTGGCGCAATGCTGACGCAGTCGGCAAAAGGCGCCACTGCTAAGAGACAGACAATCAGACAAATCGACTCAAAGCAGTGATGCTGACGCTGCCGATGGGAAATGGCACCGCTGCCGCTGCCACGAAGGAACGCAAGAGGCAAAGGAGAAAGCGACATGCCACGACAGCCTAGACCGCACTACCCACAAAAGCGAGTAAGGGAAAAGGAAACTTTGATAAATACTGTACATTTAGCGCGAGGGGGATAACAGCGGCTTTTTTCCAACAAATAGCGAAGTCGGTTGGTCGGCAGGCGGGCGGGCAGGTCGCACAATGGCGGGTGAACGTGTCCAACTCGCTCACAATATCTTGTACGATTCAAGGACGCGCGGTACGCGATGCAAGTCGTAGCCGCTTGCAGCAGCGACGGTGCTGCAAAAACTGCATACAACAGTAGTAAAAGCAGCGACAAAGCATGCATGTGTCTGTAAAGGTTGAGAGAAAATGGATACCACAGAAAGAAAGCATGACAACGTCGGCGGGAAACGCTGAGCAGGAAAAAACAGGACGGAAAATGAAACCGGGAGAAAAGGGGGAAAGGGAACTGGTAAGGGAAAATAGAAAGAAAAGAGCCAAGGACGAGGGTGGGATGTAGGCACAGAGAAAATGACCGAAGTCAGTACGGAGAAACTGCGAGACAGATCTAAACACGCAGTGCAAGGCGAACTAACTCACTCTCCTCTTGAGTTGATCGAGCGATAGGCGGCTTCGGCCTCAGGAAAGGTTTGGTCGACCAGGGGCTGTAACGCCGCCAAATCGCGACCATTTTAAGTGTTTTAGAGCCCTCATCGGCGAGTTGGTCGGTCCGTCGACTCGTCGTGGGTAACTAATAAACGTCATCCCCCATAACAGTCGATCTGGGCAAACATCAGTTGGCAGGGTCGGTGCTACGCAGCGTGGCAAGGTGAGAAAAAGGACGAAGTGACGCTGTAAGTGGTAGAAGGTGCAATCATCAAAACGGGTCATCTTCGCTATCGTAGCAGCCGCCGTTCTTTCATCCTTCCATCTGCTTTGCCCTGTTTTCAATGTCTCGTACCTAGGCATATCATAGCGAAAAGCGATCTGGACCTACAACAGCGATTCCTACTTTGTCTGCTGCTGCTGTAGTATAGGGTGCAGCAGGAGTATAGGGTGAGCTGGCTGCCAGAAGGCAACACTAAAAGATAATGGAGTGAACCCTTAAACGTGTTGCAATCCCGCGAGTTGCGATGCTACGTAGGTTGAGTCGGTAGATAAAAGGAAGAGGTGCCATGGCTCTAAAAAGCACCGCAGCAAAATTGCGTCGAAAGCTTGTGTACTACTATATAAGTACGTAGTAATATTAATGGAAGGGACGTAAATATTGTGGCATTATCAAGCAACGTAATTCTGATAGGACACAACGGTCATCGGGGCTTCCTGATGACGTCGGTCGCTTTGAAGCATCAAGCACATAGTCGGCACACTGGCTTAATATATATATGTGACACTGATGTGTATGTTCTATGTGTGAACATTCACGTGTGTGCTTCTCCAGATCTTTTCTTCATCTGTGGATCCCACAGAAAGCTGCATGGTCCACGAATAGTATGTGTCCTGATTCAAACGGGTATAGTCTGCGTCGGGCAGTTAGAGGCGTCCACATTCAAATATGCACACAAGCGCAATTTAAACGTCCACTAACGTCGAAACCGACGCCAACATCAACGCTCGCTCCAAATATTATCCAGCGAAACACAATATATGCTATTCTCTGTAGCCAGTATATTCAACGGTAGCAAGCTTACAGTAAATACCAATACTCAACTACTACCTTCCCTTGGAAGCTAAATTCATGCCGCAACGTTGACTAGGTAATCTCTGGATCGAGCAAGCCCCAACCCACAGGATCCGGTTCCAATGAATGTTGTCGTGGTCCCGTAAATCCTGCTACTTTTGCTATTCTCATCTCTGAAGTAGAAGAGCTCGACCTAACGACGAAGCTCACGATCCCTATCTGGGAGAACATAGAGTTTTGCTTCTGCTGCTGCTCGTTTTTTTAAGCGCATGAATGTACCCGGTACGTGCTCACAAACAGGAGTAAAAGAAGGATAATCAACGACTTCCCACCTATGCAAGTCCTAAATCTTGGCCAAGCCACGCTATAGTACTCGTCGTACATGCAAAAGTAGCGTTTTCATTAAAAATAAAAGGAAATAGATCCCCTTTAGCTACGATCCTACCCGCGCGACGCGTTACGAGCAGGCCAATGCATCTAAATATACTTATGTGTTGTACTTTTGAACGCTTGCTCGAAACACATTCGTATGTTTCGAGATGCTTATTAAAGTGTCACGCTTGCGATGGCGAAACACAAGGACATTTCCTTCCCATTAGGAACGCCTCCAATACCCACAACGATGTGGAACTCGATGTGCCTAAAACATTTCCTTATTAATCAATTGATGTAGGAATCCGAATTCGCATTACCTGTGTAAATACCATAAGATTGGGAAAAACTATATTCCAAACCTTTGCCCACTTTAAAGGGCAAATATATATGTTGTTCACTTAGATATTTTTCTCAGTTAACGAAGAAGGTTAGAATGATCAGCTAGCCAAGCAAAAATACGTTTCAATAATTAAAAAAAAAAAACTCTTTATCGGACTCCGTCCAAGTAGCAGTGCTAGATTGGCTGTTACAATGTTTTTGGTTATGTTAATGGCATTTCTGTAAGTAACACCCAATGATTCTATTGTCCGTAGATGAAGAGCGGTTTATGTTACGGATATGACACGATGTAGTGACGTTCACGCATTTGTCGCGTACTACACACTAAAGAAACCGCTAAAAGAAGCCGACGATTGGCGAAACTCCTCTTCGTACAATTGGTGTTTGTTCCTTCTTATCGTAGCAACCATTATCTCAGGCGGCCATCGACACTGTTCGGCCCAGTCAATTGAGTTAATTATGGCCGGGTATAGGTCTAGGAAAACATGTAACCGTGCCAAAAATCCCGGTAGATTGAAATCGACCTGGGTCCAAGACCTCAATTATTTTTATAGCACACACTCGAGAGAGGTTCTTATCCTTTCTACTTTTACGGTCAGTCATGCTGTTCCATGCATCAGCCGATATCTAAACGTGGCCCTTGGCTCGCTACTACAGCACAGCCTATGAGCGGTTAGCCTATGAAAAACGCAAAACTAACGTATATATTGAGACTTGAGGCACCTGCCACACGCTATTACAGGCGCCCCCCTTATATATCACAGTACGTCGCGGCTGTACTCAGCAGACTCGGGCCACTTATTTATAGTAAGATGTCGGTAGAGCTTTTGACCTGCTCGGCTTTAGCCGCTCCATATTCAATACGCACATGCACGACCTGTTATCTTCATCGTAAGTCCAATCCACCTTTTTGTCACTCGAACTAACGGAAATTCCCTGAACTTTTCTATGTACTGTCTCGGAAAATAATGAGTAAATTGCTGATGCTTGAAGTTCGTAAACTGCTGAGTTAAGATGAAAATCGTAGGACGCTTTCGAGAAAATCAAGACTCTAACGAGCAGTTACATGATATAATGGCATGCAGCATAACTCCTGGGTGGAGGAACTCGAGACTGTGTGTATAACCTGATCTATCAAATGCTCGAACCGAATCTGCTGACTTAAGCGGAACCTTCCTGAAGTCGTTTCGCAACCTTTATTTTCAAACATGAACTATATGCATGTATGTGTATGTTGCAATCGTGTCCAGTTAGATGAAAAAAAAAAGGGATTTCGCACGGGTTGCGGTTCTTAAAAGTGAAACAGCCCAAAAATATGTCCTTGTTATTTGTCCTAGTTATGTATATGCGCCTTCAGTGTCAAACTTTGTACAATGGCAGTTGTGATTCGCTTTACTCGACCGATCTTTCGGGCCACTTGCCGCGATTTTCGACCCAAATCTGAAATAAAGGATACCGATTTTTGTGGCCGGGCTCGCATGACTTCAGTTGCATCTAAATCGGTTAGTCAAATCCCGCTGTTCTGATGCCAATCTGTTTGTGGTAAATTTTCTTCCGAAGCTGACCGCCATTATTTAGCGCGAACGACAACGCCGTGATGACTAGCTAGACATCGAGACGGAGACCGCTTTTACGCTGCGCCAATATGAAGTAGTATTTAGTTATTTCCTGTCGTAGTATTACATATGGACCCTCATTTGAAGTTGAACTCGAAAAGCCCGAATCGCACTCTCAAGGCTATGGTGCCCGGCCGCCATTATCCAGCATCAAGTGCATAAAGAATTCAATATTTGTATTTCGTTGGTTTCTGCTTTACGTAGACCTTGGTTCTTTCTTTGCGACTGTGCACACCCTATGTGGTGCGACACTTTTATGCCAAACTTGGAGACTTCTGATCGAGCATCTGGCAAAAATACTCATAAAATAGCTTTCTCATACTCATAGATATTTCCCAATACTGATGAGATGTTTTCGTCTGAGAGGAGGGTTTTTCCTTGTATATTCCAAGTGTTTGGATT